ATCCAGAGGCGGAAAAGGATGTCGTGCGTTTTGATGTGGCAGTGATACCTGATTCTGGTAAAAGATCCGTAAGAGACTTATCTCTTTGTGTTCTGTAAAACATTTTAATCATGTAACAATATTACAGGAAGGGTTAGAAGTTTCAGTATGAAAAGTAACAGTTGTTGATGTTCTTTATGATGAACAGGAATAGATGTTACTTTAGAAGACTTCATTTGAGATTGATGTTTTGGTATAACAATGTTGTTCTCCTGAAACAGTCCAGAAGAATCATTGCTAGTAGTATGTTTGGGATTACTATTCTAGTTAAAGACATCTAGCTTGTCATTAATTTGACTTTCCATAATACTGCTCTTGTACCTAAATTGCCTGAATTATGTGGTCTTACTGTTTTGTTAGGAAATGTGATTGTTGGGCATTTATTTGCTGCTACTTTTACATATTCAAGAGGTCTCAATAAGTGTCTTTATTCTCTAGTTAGGATCTTGATTTATTTTATTTTAATAAGTGGTCAGCAAGTCATTTTTGCAGAGAATTATTTGTCATTTTAGACTAAGTTAACTAATTTAGTTTTCTAGTCTAAACCTAGTGCACGTGACTTGCTTTATACAAGGTTTCTGTTTTGAATCTGCAGCAATTGAAAACTCACGTGGCTGGCTAAGGAGTAAACCTACGTTCAGAAAGAAAGAAGACACAAGGCCTGAAAGAAAGAGGGAAAAAAAACGCAGCAGTTTCCGTATCAGTTTTGATCGGCTGAGAAGATTTCGGGATCGCAGAAACAGACGGAGTGATTCTCGACCAGAGATGGACGTTTCCGAATAGGGCGGCTTTACCAAAAATAAATAGAGCAGCAAGAGAAGGAGGAAGGGAGAAGAAAAAATCGCAGCAGCAAGGTCAAGGAAGAAGAGAAGACAGCAGGGGCGCAGACCAGACAAAACAGCAAGCCTGTCGCCATCCTTCGGGCACTTTTTCCATCTTTAAGTTCTGCAATATTTAGTTTAATTTGGTTCTGTTTAAATTTCAGATGAATATCAGTAGCCAAACTTTAGTTTTCCAATTCCAAGTTAATACTCTGTAGTTTAAACACATGCAGAACAGGTATTCCTAACATATTTGCTAACCGTGTTTTGGTCGATCAACTATGCTTGCCAAATTCTCCTTATGTTTTATGTTTTTTTCCAAACATATTTCCTAACATATTTGCATTAATTGTACCTTAGTCCAATTGATGTGATTAATTGTGACCTTAGTACCTTTGCATTGTCTTGAATCTTGATGAATATTTTTTTCCAAAACTTTCTTTCAAATCGAGTTATCAGTAAAAAACTTTCTTTCACACCAATTCATCAGCAAAAAACTATCTTTCACATTAAATTAGCTGTAAAAAACTTTCTTTCGCATTAAATTGTCAGTAAACAGTCACACTGATAATAACAGAAAAATAAAATCAACAGGGTGAACTGTTGCCCAGATAATCAAAGATAAACAAATACCGTTGTCCAGAGCCAAAAGGCTAAACCAAACTTTTATTCCAAGATGATAAGAAATTAAGAATGAACCCTGGCGAGGGGTATAAATAGCCTTCTACAAGCAACCCTAATCAAGCCCAAATTAATTAAATCTTAATTAGGCCCATACTAACTCTACTAACTATTCTACTAATAAAAGGTCCAAACCAAAACATGACATTAACTTAAAATAGTAATAAATAATAAATAATAAATAAACAGCCCGTAACCGGCCCACGGAAGTGGGCCCAAGCCCGGTCCCACCACATGCTCTTCCCGCTTCATATCAATCCACCCCCCTTAAAATAACCTTGTCCTCAAGGTTGAAAACTCGCTGACTGGGAGCTGAAATTTCCAGACATAGTATAGACTGGAAAATATCCTTCTTCTCTTTCATGAACCCTTTCCTGGCCGGTTATTACGCAGAATTCATGCTGCTTAAAGGGGCAGTCATGTGTTGGTGTAAACGGTTTCTTACACCTAAAGCATAATCCCTTCGCCCGCAATTCTGCCAACTCTTTTGGCGGGAGTCGAGTGAACTAAGGGCGTGTAGTAGACTGCCCTGACTTCGTTCCCGGAGGCTGTCCACTATCTTTCGCAAAGCTGCCCTCCAAACCCTGTAAGCAGCCAATGTGTCGCTGCCTCATCCCCCATCTGGTAGCATTCACATTTAAAATTGAACGGTTATACCAGGTTGTAGCCAGTTAGAGACTATTTTTAGAAAATTGTCCCTATAATTGGAGTCACCTAAAAATAATCGATGATTGGAATTGTTAATAGCGGATCGACAATAGTTGGGATTATTATTTACCATTTTTCCTTAATTAATTAAAAACATATCAGGTCCTTGAAGTGACCTTTAAAAAAAATTCCTAACATGTTTCTCTTGGTAAACCAAAATATAACGTAATCAAATTCAAGTCCAATCAAATCGACAAAATTATATAGATTAAATATTAAAATTGTGTAAAACTTGAACATAAGTTCATTCTTATCATCATTTGAGATTAAAAACAATCATGAGTGCCGTTATGAGGGGTTATTCCCGGCAATTGACAGAAACGTACATAAAGACCGTTTGGTTTAAGTTACTGTCATACCAATTGTTAAGGGACCCATCTTAACAATCAGAGACCTTGCAACTTGATAATCAAAGGTCCTTAAAGTACAAAAACTTATGTTCATATTTTTTCGTTGAAAGATTGTTTTGATGGGAAAAAAACTGAATATCATTTCGGTAAAAAAATAATTAAAACAACCGAATTCGATGTGTCCATTTAAAATACAAGAGGTACGCAACACCTTTTGTTGAGATATTCAGTCCCAATTGACTAAATCAGCTCAATATGTTGAGATTTATGAAATTATGACCGAAGTGGCAACTGAATTACGGAAATAGAAAAAATATATTTAAAATATGTTTTGTTTATAAATTAAGAAAAAGTTACCTGAAAAATAGCTAAAATGATGTTATACAATAACTCTAATCAATTCAGCCAGAAAAATTAAGTAACTTCACTCTTAATTATTTTGATTGTTTCTCAATTCAGTCCACATAGTCAAAACAAAGTGTTTCATAAAAAGATTAATTGATAAGGCTGATAATATTTAAATATGAGTTACCAAATAGGCTCTAAATCAAACCATTCGTATAATCTAATAATATTAAACCCTTCACAATTTTTGATGTTATAATCTAATAATGTTGGAAGTTTATAGGTACAACTGAGCGAATGTTAAAAAAAACGCATTAGATGTTGTAAAATTGATGGGTTGATGAATCGATTAGCAATTAAAGATTAATGGTTGGATATTGAAATGTACACTTGTTATAAGAAATAAATTCATAGTAGCAATCTAGTGGAAATTATAATGTGATAAACTATTTAACACATTGGAATAAGTTTCCAATTATGATATTAGGAAGCACAAAAGTGATGTCAGCTTTTTTGTTTTGAACGTGCACCACTAAATCATATGTGCAAGTTTAAGTCTCGCTTTTCTTTTACCCTTACTATCTTTTTGGTATATTCAATGTATTTTAAAGTGACTTCCCAAATAGATGTGGAACAAAGGCAAAATTGGGAGAAGAAGAAATGTATTCATTTGAAATAACATCAATTTATTCAACAAAACGTAAAATTACCTCATTATACACAAAGCATCTTCTATGTTACTGCTATATTTTTTATTGATATAAATATTCAACATTTGTACAAGTTTGAGCGGCTAGTAAAGTTGGGGGTTCTAAGAGCATTCTTCACAAGACTACAAGCGTAGATTGGTGACTATAGTCAACACTCTACTGTATAACATCATTTTAGCTATTTTCATGTAACTTTTTCTTAATTTATAAACAAAACATATTTTAAATATATGACAAAATGGGCTCTAAGTCATACAAAGTACCATTTTTATCATCTAATAGTAATAAATAGGTAGAGTGTTTCTAATACCAAATGGGCTCTAAGTCATTACAAATTACCATTTTTATCATCTAATAGTAATAAATCCTTCACAATTTTTTTGAAAGCAAATACTTTACAAATTATAATGTTATAATCTATTAATGTTGGAAGCTTAGGTACAACTAAGCGAATGTTCCAGAAAAGACATAACATGTTGTGTTGTAAAATTGCTAGATTGATGAATCAATTAGCAATCAAAAGATTAATGGTTGGATATTGAAATGTACAATTATTATAAGAAATAATTTTATAGTCGTAATCTAGTGAAAATTATAATGTGATAAACTATTAACACATTTAAATACGTTTTGAATTATCATATCAGGAACTGGAAAAGTGGTGTAAATTTTTTGTTTTGAACGTGCACCACCAAATCATATATGCAAGCATGGAATCACTCTAAGTTTTCTTTAACCCTTACTACTTTTTGCAATTGGGATCCTCTGCCGCACAACATAGTTCCTTGCACGTAGGGGATCGTCGGATGGGAAAAGAGAGGCATCGGGATCTGCACCTCAACATCTCCGATCGTCCATGTTTTGATCGGATGGTTCCCTAGAGCCGGGCACCGTGCCTTGCTTTGAAGTATGGCAGAAGTTCCGGATCCTATTTTTTTTTTGGTATATTTAGTGTTTTTAAATGTGGGACTAGGCGAAATTGGAAGAAGAAAAATGGTATTCATTTGAAATAATACTCCTATTACTTTTTCAATAAAATGTAATACTTACCTCATTATACACATTACACAAAGCAAGCAACTTCAATGTTGTAAGTTGTATATGAGAATATGACATCAACGTACAGAGATGTGAGCGAGCGAGCGAGGAATGAAATTGGGGGTGCTTGATTTTTTAACACATAAAAAGTATTCCTTCTTAATGACTGTGTACAATATGAAGTTAAGGCTTGGCCTTTATTTATAGTGCTGAACGAATAAAAAGACCCATTTAATTGATCTCCTTAATTTACAAATCTCCCTAATATATAAATCGTGCAAGGGAGTTATCTTCGTCCTATTCCGTGATAACAGCCCTCACGTCTTCTTCCTGTTAACTGCCCGCTGCCTAACAGAATGGGGCTGTTTATTTCGCAAGTTGGATGTCAACCAGATAAAAATATTGCCCGTTTAATTACTTGCGGTGGAAAGCCCGCTGACATAGTTGCTCTCTGCGCCGCACGCAGCTGCCTTTCTGCACGCAGCTGCCTTTGCCTTTACCGCTGATCTCCTACAATCTCGATGTTCTTGCTTTTCCATCCGTTCGCTCATTTAACTCTCTCGGCCATTGTTTTTTCCCCTTTCTTCCGCTGCACCTGTGCGACAGATCTATGCCGCCGGCGGAGGAGCTTGGGCCTCTGGCCGCCCCAGCGAGGCTCTCGTTTGCAGAGGCGTTAAGGAACTCCTACCATGGCCATCGATTGCACTCCCAAAAGTGCTCTTTCTTCTATTTTGACTCTGTGGGGTTCCCGGTCATATCCTACACCTTCAATGGAGATTCAACTGTCTTTTTCTCCGACGATGATATCCAGGTTTACTCCTCCACTTATATGCTCGTTAATATGCCTAATAATTTTGCCCCAATTCTGTTCTTGATAAGGTTACCCCCAATTCTGATGATAACAATCTGAATCCTAATGTTGTTTTAGCCATTGATGAACCAGTGCTTATCCTCTGCGCTGATACTTCTGATACTTCGGCCCCGACTGATTCTATTAAAAAAGATGGAACTGTCCCTTCCAGTTCTGATTTCTCTGCCGAGCTTGTTAATATGCCTGCTATTGTTGCCCCGTTTACTTCTGTTCCTGCTGAGGTAGAGTGTACTTCTGGTAGCAATACCAGAAATGTTTGCACTGCCCCTGGAGCAGAAATCATCACCTCTTTTGACTTTGAAAGCCCCATTCTTAATGGTCCAACTGATTATGTTTCTATAGAAACAGTGCCTACAGATTGTGTTTCTGATAAAGCTGATAGAAATGGCCTTATTGATTGTGGTTCCGCCGAAGTTGAAGCCTATGATGAAGCCTTAGTGAATGCCTTTGCAAATGCATTATCTGCAGGTCCTGGTCCTAAAGTTGATACAATTGAGTCAATAATTGGAAATGAAGAACCTCGTTCTGATCCGTCTATTGAAACTGACACGGCTTATACTACACTTGATCATCCCCTGTCCTATGATGCTACTATGATGATACTCAGTCAGAGGACCCCCCGGTTATCACTAAGAACCAATTTCCTATTGTTGTTTTTCACCGGATTATCCGATTAATCTGCTACTATGTTTCTTTTTACTGTTACTTTAGCTATCTGAGTTTCAATGTTAGTTTGTTTCAGTTTTTTTGGCATTCTAAGATTAATTGCATTCTGGCCGAAAGGAATTTTGTTCACAAATGAAGTTTAGAATACCCAACGTAAATTTGAACTTCTTTACTTTATCCTTTTGTTATTTATTTTTTAAAATAGATTTACTAATTGTGTGTTTTCTCATCTGCTACAGCCCTCAAAGGATATGTGCCAAGACTCCAGGAATGGATCCTAATCACACTTCATGGACTGAAACACTTTGATAGGGAAGATGGTTTGTCTTTTGCTAAACACACTTCATTTACCGTCCCTTTTGTAAACTTTTAGCATACCTTGTTCAATATTATTTATTGTTCTTCAAAATAGAAGACTGAATTGGTATAGTGTTCAGAAGTTTTCTTTATTTTCTACAAATGAAAATAATTTCTTAGGAAAAAGGTCTTCTTTAAAGCTTCACATTGTCTTGTTTAAGCTCAAAGGTTTGCTTATTATAAGCTTTTAAGCTTCACTTCTTCCTATTCTTTCATCTGTTCAATTTCTTTATCTTATTTCTCTTTTAATTGTTGAGGTTCAATGTTTTGTAATAGTGTACTACTGCTGAATTAAAACCTCACTCACTTCTTAAAGTTAAGTTTTTCCTTTCAAACATTTTTTCTAATAGGTTATGGATTTTTTTGTTCTAGACTTGTGATTTATCTCCAAGGCTTGTATTCCAATTCTAGAATGATCATTTGTTTAACACTTTTTAGTTAGTTTGTAGACCACTGCATTTTTTATACTGCATTTTTTATTTTAGGATATGCTTTCTCATAACTTTCACTTATTTTTTGTTCAAGCAAGTCTGTTGATGAACATTGATTCCGCATTTTGTTTTAATCTCCTGATTTTAGCTTCTGGCATTTTGTTGATGAACCAGTGTTGATACTTCTGATACTTATGCCCCAACTGATCCTTTTAAAAAGGATGAAACTGGCCCTTCCAGTTCTGATTTCTCTGCCCAGATTGTTAATATGTCTGCTATTGGTGCCCCGTTTATTTCTGTTCCTGCTGAGGTAGAGTGTACTTCTGGTAGCAATGCCAGAAATGTTTGCACTGCCCCTAGAGCAGAAATCATCACCTCTTTTGACTTTGAAAGCCCCATTCTTAATGTTCCAACTGATTATGTTTCTGTAGAAACAGTGCCTGCAGATTGTGTTTATGATAAAACTGATAGAAATGGACTTATTGATTGTGTTTCCGCCGAAGTTGATACCTTGAAAAATAATGCAATTGTAACCTATGATGAAGCCTAAGTGAATGCCTTTGCAAATGCATTATCTGGGAGTATTCTTGTTGCAAGTTTATTCCTGTTGCGAGTTAATGATCATCTAATTTGACATTACAGTTTTCCCTAAGAATAACATTTTTACTCATTGTTTCTTTTGATTCCCTTTGCCTATATTTTGGTGGGTTTGTCAGGTTTTATGTCTTCTAACTTCAATTATATGGTTTTAGTGCAATACAAAATTGTATCTTAGTGTTTATTGTGTACCTTCCTTGTATTGTTGATTATTAGTAAGTTTTTTTCATTTTTATCAATTATTGTTTCCCAATATGTAATGATGTGCGCCTTTACGTGTTCATCTATGTGTTCAACTTTTTCTTGAGCTTTTACGTCCTTTTAATTAAGCGGGTATTTATCTTTATTGCCTTAATTGAGGGTTTTTTCCAACATTGTGTGTTTTTACGCAGCCTTAAAATCATTTTCAAAAAGCTTTTTTAAACACCTTATTATTCTTGCCAGTAATCTTTATGAGACCTTCTATATCCAGGGTAGAAGGCGACAACCCACCTCTTGTTGAATTGCTTGAGTTTTTTTTTATCCAGCTGTGCAAAGAGCAGTTGCAGGCGTCTTGATGACACTGGCATTCAAAAATGATGAGAATAAGAATCAGGTTTGGAATTTTGTATATTTTTTTGCTAAGGATACATGTGAATTGATTATGGATATTTTTTGCATTTGATAGTTTAAGAGATAGAAGTCGTGGTGCTAATGATAACGATTCAGATCATTGGGGAAAGAAAGTAGAGGCGGGAATGGGAATGCTACTTCAACAAAACCCAAGGGCGGGTCTAATCTTTTCGGGGAAACTAGGCCCAGGGAAGAGGTGTTAAAGGATAAGGGGTAGGGCTGGAAGGTGATTGACCAAAAGCTGGGGTCTTTAAAGGTTACCGAAGTTGCTGATTCTTCTTGATCCAGGAAGAATAGCTTTGGGAGCAGCAGTTGACGTTTCTACTCTCGTGAGGGAAAAATTGAGAAGAGTTGGAGGAGATGGTGCTCGGCCTTCCAGGTAGTGCAACAGGCATTCCTTATCTTTTATTGATTCATCAATTATTATTATTAACATCACTATCCTAATTGATTGGGCATTACTTTTGCTTCCAGTTTTCTCCCCCGCATTGGGCCTGACCCACGCGTGATCTTTTGTCCAAAATATTTCCAGTGAACTCACCTGAAATAACTTCGGGCCTGCTCGCTTAAATTGAGTTCAGTCTTTGCCCGCACTGATGGAACAAATGCTTGCTTTTACGATGTAACAGTGTTGGAACAATGCTTGCTTTTATGTTTCTTACTTACTTCAGCTGTCCCTTTCGCATATTAATTTTGCATTCCTTTCGTTCCCAAATTTTGTACCTCCCATTGGGCATGACAACCGCGCAACGCGCGGGTCGCCGCTAGTGATAAAAAAGAATGCAAATAGTGCAAACGCTAAAGAAGACGCGTAATAGCCATTATCACATAAAGCCTCTTTTTCAAAGGAACTTTAATAAATAAATAAATATCACTCAATGGTCTCGAATCTTTTAGAACATCGCATTCCCATGGCAAATTTAACCATGGTTGATTAAATGAATAATTACATTTTTATGGTTAAAATAACCTGTTTATAAAAATGTGATCTATTAAGTGATCATTTAGTAACTTTAGTCATATTAAATCATGTTCATGTTTTACACTTAAGCGACAATCATACTATATTTACAGTAACTTTTTAACTTTCATAATAATTTATGTTAAATTTTTACACTTAAGTGACTATAACACAACACTACAGTAACTTTTTGTCATAATTTTGTAATAAATTTTATTTCGGTAATATTTTTGAAGAACTCTCCTCTCAATTATATACTACTCTCTCCGTCCCATTTTGGTTGTCCTACTTTCCTTTTTGGGTTATCCCAAAATGAATGTCTTGTTTCCTTTTTTGGATGAAATATGTGGTTCTTATCAATTCACTTTATTATACTCAAATCTCAACCACAACTTTTACTTTTCAACCACTTTATTAATAATCGTGTCAAATTGAAAGTGGACAACCATTATGGGACGGAGTAGTACGAAGTATTGAAGTGTAAACTAAGAAAGTTCTTAGTTGGACCGACTTCAGTCTCAAATTATATTAGGCTAGATTAGATTAGAGTAGATTTTAAAAAGATCAAATAAGTCCAGACTAAACTTAAACAAATCAGACCAAACTCTGATAGTTGTAAAATACACATAGAGCATATGCATCTTCTTGATCAATTTAAACTAAACCAGATCGAATTTAAACAACATATCATCATGTTAAACCAAACTAGAAAACTATAGTCCAACTAAAAAGATCCTAATAATCTATTGGATCACTTGGCTAAATATTAGAGTGCTTGTTCACTAAACTATGAGGGTAAATTAATAGACTATAAAAACACCTCTCTCTTGTCATTTGACAAGACATCGTTCATATGTGATATTGTTGCTAACTTAATACTAGTATTTCAACATGATGATACATGCTAAATGTAATCACATGCGGAGTAGTAAGATATATTCATATGCAATGTAATTTTGGCGAATCTGTTTGGTAACACTCAAATTAGTTGAATTGACCGATACTGCTGAAATTTATGAAATTATAATTAAAGTGGTTGTTTTAGTTGATTCTAATAATTTATGGGAAAAACTATTTAAAATATATTTTATTACTAAAATAAAGAAAAAATTATATGAAAATAGGTGAAATGGTCCTCTAGAGTAATTTAACCCAATCCAGTCTAGAAAATAACTTCAACCCTACTTTTTTTTTTATTATTAACACGTGAAATAAAAAATTACATGTTTGGTGAAAAAGTTGACTGATAAGGCTTGATAAGTCGAAAAACATGATTATCAAACGGGCCCTTAGTACTCTCTATGTGTTTGGTGAACTTTAAGTAATCCCAATCAAAGCTACCTCTAGGCTTAAATGTGTTTTTACTTTGAACACCAATATTCAAACGCGTTTAAGAGATAATTTGAATACTTCAAAGTAGGGGTGGAAACAGGCCAGGTCAGGCCAGGCTTTCGCCTAAACAGGCCGGGCCTGTTTTAGAATATATAGGCCTGAGCCTGGCCTGTTACCTGTTAAAGGCCTGTTTTTTCGGCCTGGGCCTGGCCTGTTCAAAAGCCTGGCCTGGCCTGAAGCCTGTTTACCGGGGCTGTTAAGAAAAAAAATCAAAATTTCAAAAAAATTAAAAATGAAAAGTGTAAAATCCTTTTAATCCGCTATAAAATTTATTTCCCTAAATATTCACTAAAAAGTATAATAATACGTTAGTTTTGCTTTAGATATCTAATAATACATTATTATGGAGTATTATTATGTAGTTTATAAATTTCTATATACTTTAAATCTTGAAAAACTTTGAATTTCAATTACCTTAATAAACTATTAACACACTTTATGTATATTTAAAATAGTATTATATTCTAATTTATAATACACACTCCCTAAAAATACTATTATACCGATTTTGCTATAGTTGAGTATACCAATATAAATACAATATAAATATAAATAATACAAATAAATATGAATATAACTAGATATATATACATATATATATACACATATATAAATAGGCCGGCCTGTTAAGGTAAAAAGGCTTCAGAATTAGGCTAGGCCTGGCCTTTTTAAATAAACGGGCTTTTTAAAAAGCCCAAGCCTGGCTTGATTACTAAACAGGCCAGGCCAGGCCAGGCTTTTAACAGGCCAGGCCACAGGCCCCTGACAGGCCGGCTGGCCTATTTCCACCCCTACTTCAAAGTCATGCCGAAAGATAAATGTGTACGCTTTACATATTTCCTTCATTGATCAATCGATATAAAATATTCTAGCTATAGATTGCGTATCCCGCTTTTTCAATTCTTGAATTTACAACAAAAAGATATAAAACATTCTAGCAATTTAAATAATTCAAGTTTAGCCACACAAGGCAAGGTACGTGCACACACGCCCAAAACAAAATATTAAATAACAACTATTTAATCCATTAACAACTAATTCCGTTAAAAAAAATCCATTAACAACTAATTGTAATGTTGAAGTAAAAAAGAATGGCGGAGCAGGTGGTGGAGATATGGGGAGGCTAATGGGGTCTCGATCAACCCCCCACACCACACCCCCACCTCAAGAAAAAAGAAAAATTTGTTATATATGTATATACTGAACCGGCCCCAAATGTATCTTAATTGTATGAGAATGACTCATATACATTTAATAATTGGTTATCTTGAATCATACTTTTTGATCATATGTCAATTTTTTTTTTATTCCTAGTATTGCAAAATTTGATTATATTAATCAATCAATTTTAAACTTTTATTTACAACTTTTGAGTCTCATGTGACTAGATGCTAAACATACAAAAATAATTAGACTTACTTGTCATTTAATAAAGTAAAATTCACATGAATAATTCTATAATAATCTGAAATACATAGGTGGTCTCCTATAATTGATCTCAGGCTACTAACAACCTGCTTGCCCTGTAATTAATACTCCGTAAAATTTTATACATAACTTTTATTTGGGCCAAATTAACACAAAATCCACCTTTTACATTTGGACACTCACGGACTTGGTGGTTCTCAAATCTGTTAATTACGGAGCATAGCAATCTTAGCAAACCGACTTCACTTATGACTCCTCTCTGTTGCCCATAGCTTGACGAGAGCTTGATAATATACTGGGACATTCGAATTCAGCTGCAAAAGAGGGCAAATGAATTAACTCATGTTTTCTACGGTTATCCCTAACTTTGACTCGAGCACCAAGATGAATATGGGATGCTTTCCTTTCTTCTCACAGGTGCAGTCCGGCAGAGGCATTTTGACCAACTTCAAGATACTTTTCAAATTTCATTAGGAATAGAGAAAACTATCAAATAAGCCCCGTACTATGCCGAAAAAGTCGATTAGGCCCTCATACTTTACAAACACTCAATTAAGTCCTCGAACTATTAAAAAACGTTCAATTAAGCTCTTTCGGTCGGTAAGTAACCGGTTTCCCGGTTAAACGGCGGCGGCGGCGACGATGTGCTCGAACCCCAACAACGGCGGCTGACGGGAAACAAGTTACATTTAACCGGGGAACCGGTTACTTACCGACCGAAAGGGCTTAATTGAACGTTTTTTAATAGTTCGAGGAGTTAATTGAGTGTTTGTAAAGTACGAGGGCCTAATCGGTATAGTACGGGGGCTTATTTGGTAGTTTTCCCTTAGGAATAAGTATGGTTCCAACGTATACCAGACAATACAACCTGTGGAAACCTGAACGGAAATTGTCCTAAATAGGACTAATGAGTTCCTAAAAAGCACAAATAGGACTACTACTTTTAAAATTCCCTAAATAGGACTAAACATTGATTTTCTACCCTAAATACCCCTAAGAGTATTAATTCATAATGAAATGCTTTAATTCATAATAAAATCATAAAAAACGTAAAAAATATTTTAAAAACGTAAAAAAATTGTAAAAAATTTATAAAACATTTATAAAATAAAAAAATTAATTTTTTATTTTTTTAATTTTTTTAAAAAAATAATAAAAAATAGTAAAAACCCATAAAAAATGAAAAAAAAAATGGATACCTTTCCCACCGCCTCCCGCCACCTCCCAGCACCACCACCTCCGATTGGTGAAATTTCTTCCACTTTTGGTAAAAAAAATGCCATATTTTTCTGAAAATGCCAAAAAGATGGCATAATTACTCTTCAATATGCCAACATTTTCATTGAATATGCCATCATTATGGCATTATTTAAAATGTTGGCATATTTTTCTCCGGTGATGGGAGTTGGTGGTGCTGGGGGTGGCAGGGGTGGTAATGTTTTTTTTTTTTAATTTTATGATTTTTTTTTATTTTTTTTATTTTTATTTGTTTTTAAAATATTTTTTTTTATTTTTTTTAAAAATATTTTTTATTAATTTTCTTTTATTTTTTTACGATTTTTAGTATTTTTTTCAATTTTTATAAATTTTTTTATGATTTTATTATTAATTAAAACATTTTACAAGTTACAAGGGTATATTTGTCCAAACACACATAAATAGTCCTATTAAGGGAATTTAAAAAATGTAGTCCTATTTGTGCAATTTTGCCATTTTTTAGTCCTATTTAGGGAATTGACTCTAAACCTGAATCCCATGCCACTCCTCTTTACCAAGGATCCTGGTTGCAAGCGCTGATGAAATCATCAACTCCCATCATCCGCAACTTTTTCTTCTATTACTATAAAGTGCTACTAGTATAAAACTAAACATACTGTTCGTAGTTAAGGGGAATCTCATTTTGTGAGAGTTGATTAAATTTTTCATGGGAAATTTAATTACCCATATATAGTAAGTTGATTCACAGATGTTCTTCTATGTTGGATTAGTCAAACATATTCTCGTCTTCCTTAAAACGGGGTTGAATTGTGAGTTTTGGTACTACCAAACACTTGTAT